CCTCTTTAAGGTCCTGCATACTTTTCCTCGTTTCATCATCTTGTCTAGCTGAGTTTTCTTGTATCTCATTCAGTTTCCTTAGAATTATCACTTGAAATTCCTTGTTGGTCATTTCAAGGGCTTCTTGTTCTATAGGATCTGGAGCTTGAGATTTATTATCTTTTGGTGGTGTACTTTCTTGATTTTTCGTATTTCTGGTATCTTTTCTTTGATGTTTGTTCATTGTGGCAGGGGGTTTCACAGTCCACAGATCAGATGAAATGAGCAGAGTATCTTTTGTTCCACTGGGCATTCTAATGAACAGAGCAGGCAAACTCAGAGGAGAATCGGGGGCAGCGCACGGAGTCCCCGGTCCGAGTGCAGCTGCCGCCGGTGGGCTCCAGCTTGGCTCGATGTGTTGGGGTGCCTGGGTCTGGAGGGCCCTGATGTTTGGGTGAGGAGGGTCCGCTGCTGCCGGCGCCTGGTGAGGAGGCGGTACCGCTGCTGCTGCTGCCACCGCCGCCGCAGCTCTGGTGCTGGTCTGGTTCCTGCTGCTGCCGCTGAGCTTTTCACGGCAATATCCTCATGGGCCGGGGGCGGGGGGTCTTTGTCCCTCTCCCCGGGGGAAGCGGCGCCCTTCTCAGGTGCGGGGCTCAGGAAATGCCGGTGGATTTTCTTCCAGGTCTTGCGTTTTCTAGAGTCCTCCGGAGGCACTCGGCTTACTCAGCACTTCTGCTTCCTCCTTGTGATTTAGGGTTCCCTGTTCACTGAGGAGATGACAGCTGGAATCTTGGCATTGAATTACCCTTTGAGCTTTTGTTTCTCTTTCATGCTGATATTTTCTTGGCACCCAAAGCCACATTTTACAAAATTAATATATTTAGAAGCATTAAATATTTCAACTATAATAATCTTAGAATTAATTTAAATTTTGGTAAAGTTGCCAGATACAAAATGTACAAAAGTCGATTGCATTCCTATATATCAGTTACATATTATATATTCATATATATCAGTAACCAGTTAGAAAATTCAGTGAAAAAAGTCTTGTTTATAGCAAAAACGTACAATATAAAATCTAGCACTAACCTTTGTGGGAAATAGATGATTTCCATTATTAAAAAGGCAAAAAATCCTTCAAAATTTATAAGAGAAATGACTTGAGTATATGGTGAATCATTGATTTTCCTGGATAAGCCTGATAGTTCTTCTCAGATTTAAAACAATTATAATAAACATCACAATAGTGTTAGAACTATTTACCAAAAGAATTTTAGCATCTGTCTTGAAAAATAAAGTTGAAAGTATATTCATCAAAGAAATTTTGAACAGGAAGCATGTTGACAGCATACTAGCCCTGGAAATATTGAAGCATTTAATAAAGGTACATAATTTGAATCCTTTTGGTACTTGGCATGAGAATATCTTGCAATCAGGGCAACATTTATAATAATTAGATGAAAATAGGAACATCAAAAAACCTAGGAACGGTAGAAGAATTATTCAGTATATGGTGTTGGGACACTTTAGAATGGGGGAAGAGGTCAGATCAAAGACTCCTCTCATATTTTATACAACATAATTTTATTTATTTATTTATTTTGTCCTTTTTGAGACCCGCCGCACCGCGCTCAGCCAGTGAGCGCTGTGAGCGCACCGGTCATCCCTACGTAGGATCTGAACCTGCGGCGGGAGTGCTGCCGCGCTCCCAGTGCCACACCCTCCCGAGTGCGCCACGGGCTCGGCCCTACAACATAATTTTAGATACATTGAAAGTTACTTATTTTAAGAAAATAGGCAGGCTAGAAGATAATGTCATCTATCAAACTTTATGATAGGTGAAGACTTCCTAAGCTTACAGAGTAAACAACAAGGAAAAGTTAGACAAATTTCATGACTTGTGAATGCATCTTAAGTTCAAAAGAAACCTGTAAAACTACAATCAAAAGTAGGCAGATGGTGGGCCGGCCCAGTGGCGCGCTGCTACAGTGGCCGCTTGGGAAGCGCGGCGGCGCTCCCGCCGAGGGTTCAGATCCCACATACAGACCGGCCGCTCACTGGCTGAGCGAGGTGCGGGGGCAACGCCGAGGGTTGCGATCCCGTAGCCAGTCCCGGTCTGGTACGGGCGCGACACTGAGGGTTGCGATCCGTTGCCGGTCACGAAAAAAGACAAAAAGGAAAAAAAAAAAAGTAGGCAGATGGGAAAAAGATTCTTTTTAGCAAATGTAAGAACAAATACCTTTATCACGTTACAAGCTCACAAATTGATAAGAAAAATAGTAAGACTACAAATAAGTGAGCAAAGAACATGAATAAACAGTTAACAGAAGAGGAAGTATATCTGGTTAATAAATGCAAAGGTACTGCTAAAAGCTCATAGAGATTCTTATTATCTTTCAATTCTATTTTTCCATGAACTTTTTGAAGTACTGTCGAATGGGGAAAAGTTCAAATTCATTAATCAGAGAACTGAAGAAAGCAGGGTATTATAACTCTCCACTCATTAAATTAGCTAAAGTTTTTAATTGATACCCGATTTTTCCATGAACTTTTTGAAGTACTGTCGAATGGGGAAAAGTTCAAATTCATTAATCAGAAAACTGAAGAAAGCTGGGTATTATAACTCTCCACTCATTAAATTAGCTAAAGTTTTTAATTGATACCCCAAATTGTTGAGTTTTCTTGATACAACAAAGGGGAAAAGGAGTAAACGTTGATCAAGTGCTTATTATATGAGCTTATGCCTGTTATAGGCTTTATATACATTACTTTGTTTTATCCTTTCAGCAGCTTTAGAAATTAGGATTTTTTCCTGACATTTTCAGTTGGCAAAATTGGAAGTCAAAATGACACATTTGGCGAATGACCTTCCCTAGGACCATCTGTCTCCAAAGTCCAAGATTTTTCCATCCTTTTCATAATGCAGTTGTGAACACTGTTGCAATTGCAGCTTTTTTGGAAAGCAGGTCTTTTGGAAAACAGTTTGGCAGTATATATATCAGGAGTCTTAACTATTCATGTTCTATTTTGGATTCAGTAATTCCTCTTCTAGAAATATACTCTAAGGGGGAATATCCCCCAAATAGAAAAAGTGTTATGTCCAGAGATGTTCATTGCAGCATTATTTAGATGAGTGAAGAATTGGAAGCTGTGTAACTGTCTGCTAATACAAGTATACTCATTAAATTGTGAAACATCCACAAGGTGGGATATATTTTAAAGTCCTTAAAATGATAAGTTATGTCATAGCATGATCTGGTGATAGGTGAAAACAGGAAAATATAAAATTTTACATATAGTATAATTACAACTAGGTCAATTAAACACGTTAGGGGAAAAAAGACTAGAAAGTAGTATATAAAATGTTAATAGTGGCTGTGTTTGGGTACTGGAGCTATGGGAAATTTCTGTTTTCCAAATTTTACTTATAGTAAAAGCCACACCTATAAGAAAATAGGTGTGGGGTAGTTATACTTATTGGCTTTCAAGAATTCCCTCTCACTCTGAGATCAGCCTGTATTCTTGGACACAGAGAAGCACAGATTATGTTGCATTTGGATGGCCAAAAGTGGTTGGGATTTGGATGGCTCAGTTTCCTCTGAACCTCATCCTTTCAGGCTTGGTTTTATCTGAGCAGTCATGACCAGATCTTAAAAGCACCTGAGAAGATTGCTGTATTTTCCTTTCTCATAGGCACTGAAGTGGCAGCAGCACCAAGGGTTGCTTCCTCCTGGTATGACCATAGATTTGTTTCGAGGCAAAGCAGCTGTCAAGGATGTGGAAGAAGAAAAGTTTCCTACACAGCTGAGCAGGCATATTAAGGTAGGATCCTTAGATACTCAGCCAGTCAGTAACCATTTGCTGAAGACTAATCATGGGCTCAGTCAGTCCCTATGTCAGGAGCTTGTGCACTTGGGTGGAGAACTCATTCTCCATCCCTGACAGCATTTAAGGTTGCTTCTGGTGTTCACTGGGATTCTGCTGTGGCCTGGCAGTAGCACACCTCATATGTATAACCACTGGACATATATTTGACATGGCCCTTGCACTTCCTCCAAAGAAGCCTCCACATGGAGAATGGTTTGCTTTTCTTTGGTTAAGCCTGGGACTAAATGTGATCTTCCAGTGTATGAGGGTACTTCAAAAAGTTTGTGGAAAAATAGAATTAAAAGATAATACAGGGCTGGCCCTGTGGCTCACTTGGGAGAGTGCGGCGCTGGTAGCGCCGAGGCCGCAGGTTCAGATCCTATATAGCGATGGCTGGTGCGCTCACTGCCTGAGCGTGGTGCAGACAACACCGAGCCAGGGGTTACGATCCCCTTACCCAAAGATAGTACAAATCTTTCCATGAACTTTTTGAAGTATCCTTGTGCTTATCCTGTTCAACATTTGTGTTTTTGCCCACTATGTGTTAGGCAAAGTGCAGTGCCAGTCATGTATTGTAAAGTGGACTTATGTGATGTTTGAGAAAATTATTTATCATCTTATAGCTGATTCTTGTTTTTTTTTTTTTAAGTGAGACTTTTCTAGGAAAAAAGTACAATCAAGTAATTGCTGCAGTTCCCCAAATTACAAGTATATTTGCTACTTTAGCATCTCAATACTACAGTTTCTCTCTGGGTGCTCTGGTTGAATTTCTGGATTTAAAATATTATGTATTCTTCAAATCTTTGACTTGGCTCAGTGTTTTGGATTTTGTCTTTTCTGGATTATATGTTCTAGCTTGCATGTAAAGATATTTATGACCAGCACTATTATTTACCCTGGCTGAAGCCTTGAGACGGATAGAAGTCCATTAAAATTATGCTGCTGGGTTAAGATTTTTCTGTTATAAATACTTTCTCTTTTTGGCATTTATTTATTTTATTTATTTATTTTTTAAGATGTTCGGTAAGGGGATCTTAACCCTTGGCTTGGTGTTGTGAGCACCACGCTCAGCCAGTGAGCACCACGCTCAGCCAGTGAGCGAACCGGACATCTCTATATAGGATCCGAACCCGTGGCCTTGGTGTTATCAACACCGCACTCTCCTGAGTGAGCCACGGGCCAGCCCCTTTTTGGCATTTAAAATGAAATCCACAGTAGCACTTTTCTCTCTTCTTCCCATCTGTCTAGTTTTCATCTGTTGTTGGGAGTAGCATCACTGGTAAATGCTCAAGATGCATTTACCAGGCAAACAGTCTATCACCTATAATTAGTTCTCCTAGATTTGGTCAGCCACACTTTATCACTTGATTAAATGAAGGTTGTGAAACAGTGAAGGAAAATTTATTTACAAAATAGTGTAGAACATACATTCATTTTGAAAAAAAAAAAAAAAAGTTTTTTCCTCCCCAGATACACAACAGGAACATATGAGGCCATATTGAGTGTGAAAGTGATGCTAACAGTGGCTGATTCTAACAAAAATTTATGGTCTGAGATAACAGGATTATTTATTTTAAATCTCATGTTAAAATAGTTTTTTTCCCTTTTCTTTGGAAATGTCAATCTCACATTCAAAAAACTAGTTTAACTGAGTTTAAAAAACTAGTTAAACTAGGTATAAAACTGGTCAGGGAAATACATCCACCAGCTCCCTGTGTCTAGGTACAGAAACGTCCCTCCAATACTCCATAATATGGGCCAACTATGACTTTATGCTAGTGCAGGGTTTCTCAAAAGGTTAAAATAGTAATTGTTTTAAGTCCACTAGATAAAAATGCATCTGTTTCATTGTTTCATTTGAAACAGTTTGGTCAGAAATCACATGTGACAAAAAAAAAAAAAAAAAAAACACATGTGGAGTGTGCTCGATTTTCTCCAGATGGTCAGTATCTAGTCACTGGGTCTGTTGATGGATTCACTGAAGTATGGAACTTTACTACTGGAAAAATAAGGAGGGATCTTAAGTACCAGGCCCAGGATAACTTTATGATGATGGATGATGCTGTCCTCTGCGTGTGTTTCAGCAGAGATACAGAAATGTTAGCATCTGGGGCTCAAGATGGAAAAATCAAGGTATGGAAGATTCAGGGTGGACAGTGTTTAAGGAGATTTGAAAGGGCACACAGTGAAGGTGTCACCTGTCTAAACTTTTCTAAGGATAGCAGTCAGATCCTTAGTGTCTCTTTTGACCAGACAATTAGAATTCATGGTTTAAAATCTGGGAAAACCCTGAAGGAATTTCGTGGCCACTCCTTTTTTAACAAAGCAACATTTACACAAGATGGACATTATATTTGCGCATCCTCTGATGGCACCGTAAAGATCTGAAATATGAAGACCACAGAATGTTCAAATACCTTTAAATCCCTGGGCAGCACTGCAGGGACAGACATTACTGTCAACAGTGTGATCCTGCTTTCTAAAAATCCAGAGCACTTTGTAGTGAGCAAAAGATCAAACACGGTGGTCATCATGAACATGCAGGGGCAGATTGTCAGAAGCTTCAGCTCTGGTAAAAGAGAAGGTGATGACTTTGTTTGCTATGCCCTCTCTCCCCGTGGTGAATGGATCTACTGTGTGGGGGAGGACTTTGTGCTCTACTATTTCAGCATAGTCACTGGCAAACTGGAGAGAACTTTGACAGTTCACGAAAAGGATGTGATTGGTATTTGCGCATCAGCCTCATCAGAATCTGATTGCTACCTACAGTGAAGATGGACTCCTAAAGCCCTGGAAACCCTAATGCAACTTTTCTTTCTTTTTTTTTTTTTTTCTTTTTTGGCAGCTGGCAAGGTATGGGGATCTGACCGCTTGACCTTGCTGTTATCAGCACCAGGCTCTTCCAAGTGAGCTAACCGGCCAATCCCAACTTTTCTTTTAAAATTAGTTTGAAAACATGTACTTAAATGAAGACATATTTATGTGTTGCTTTTTTTTTTAGGTCAGCTTTTCTAAGCAAATGGATTGTCTGAATTAGCCACAAGAATAATTTTGTGAAAATTCATGTTTAAGTAATAATTACCCTTTTTAATATATTTCTAAGGTATTAGTTTATCTGCATCTAACTGGGGCAGTCACTTAATGTCTTCATTAATCTTCTACCTGGAGAGTGAAATACTGATATTTCTAGAAAAAATCTGTACTCCTTTGATTATTTGAAATGAATGTGCCTCCCATAGTAAAACTTGTAAATAAGGAACCGTCCCATATTCAGGAGCTGTGTTTCAATTTTTTTTTTTTAAGATGTTAATAAACCTTACACCTTTCTGGAAAAAAAAAAAAAGAAAGAAACTCCTGAGCACAGACCAGTTTTCAGGGCTCCTTTCTGGGCCCAAATGCAAACTAGGCTTCAAGAAGAGACCAATGAATTGTGTTCCATAGTCATCCAATCCAAATCAAATAAGTTTGCATCCTCCATTTGCATAATTGGACCTAAATGAGGACCTAGTGGGGAGTTGGCCGGGAACTTAGTCTATGTAGGATACCCCGTTTTTTTGTTCAGAGAGACATTGCTTTGGTGATTATCCCCAGTGTACTCCATTACTTGTTACAAGTAAACCCTACTATACAGAAAAATAAAGAAATATTGGGTTTGATCAAAGGGAGTTGCAGCTACAACCAAATCCCTTCTGAGTAGAAGAACAGGCCAAATATCCACTGTATTAGCTGCAGTAGAACAGGTTACTATATGGATACCATATGGATACAGGTTTAGTGGAATATAATCTGATGCATGACATATCCAAGTACATATTAGAAAACTCATCTAGTATCCTGTGTGATAGGAATTATTATACTGCAATAATTACTGCTTACAAAGATGGGCGTAAGATCCTGAAGTGTTTCACAAATTATTTTTAAAAAATCAAAGTATGATTTGTTTTAGTGTTACGTGTAATTTAGTCTAATTCTTTAACAGTTGTTATCCTTGTGTGGTATGTCATTGTAATTCAGTTAATTAAATGACCTATTCATTTAACCCATGTTCATTGAGTGCCTACTATGAGCCAGGTAGATGCCAGAATTGAAAAATGGATAAGATATGGCCACTACTCATAAAGACCTCCTGGTGTCTGTAAGGAATGCAGACACGTGGTTGCAGAAGTACAATACGGTGAGATTGTCTCTCCATGGAGAGAGAAAGTACTGCGGACCTGCCAAGAATGAAGAGATCAACCAGAGCACCATCCTCAGTCAACCACTACTGCTAGATCGTTTTCTGAAATATCACTTGGTCCATGTCCCCTCCCTGTTTAAGAATGTACAGTGCCTCCCTGTCACCAACCAAATTAAGTGCAAAGTCTCTCAGCTTTCCATGCTCTCAGCCCACTCTGCCTGTCTGCCCTCCTTTCCCATGACTTTTTATTTGTTTGTTTGTTTCATTGTTGTTTTTGGCGGCTGGCCAGTAGGAGGATCCGAACCCTGGGCCTTGGTGTTGGAACACCACACTCTAACCAACTGAGCTAACCAGCCAGCCCCTCCTATGACTTTTAATATGCACACATACACACACACATATGGTTTATTGCCACCTTCAAACTTGTTTGTGCTCTTCACAGCTGGAACACCATTCTTCTTCCCTGTTACCTATCCAATCCTGCTTATCTTTCGAGGCCCAAATCAAGTCCCACCTTGCAGGTGTGGTACCAGCTAGACCCATGCATGATTTCTCTCACCTCTGAACTCCAGTTACCCTTCCCACCTTTGAACTTAATTGTTCTCTAAGTCATTCTAAAGGGATTGTAAGCTATCCCAAAGCGGAAAATGTGTTTTTTTTTCCTCAGGATGGGGACAACATGCTGCATACCCCACCCCCAAAACTCTGACAAAGTGCTGAACAAGCACTTGGTTGATTGGTTGGATGCTAGACAACAGGGCTGGCATACAAATGAGCCTCTGTCTTGTAACCTCTGATCTCCATGATTCAGGCTGATTGTGGGAGGACATTCAGACCCCTATCACCTCACCCACTGCCACAACTTGCCACTTCACCCAGGATGCGTTTCATCTGCCTAGACACCAGAGGATCCTAGGGTCTGATTTCTGACTCCACAGACAAGCAGTACCAGTTGAGGTTTGACCCTCGATAGCTGGTCTGTGATTAGCTGGGCCACATCACAGTGCAGTACAGGGCTGGTTACACTCTGGGAAGAGTCGGGACTTTGCCAAAATATCAAGCGTTTGAAGCCCACCACCTTGACTTCAGCTTCGTTTTCCTTTGCCATTTTACAGGTGATTTCACATGGCACCGTGGCACCACTTAGTGATGGTATTAGCCTTTGCCTGGCTACTTGTAAGGCACAGCAGGAGATGTCCTAATATTTTAAAGCTAGAGAGATGGAACTGAGGGAAGAAAGTTTGTTTGATTGGAAAGGGGTCAGATTTAAGCCTCTTAGTGAAGGATGAGGTCAACATAAGTGATTTTTTTGTTCTAATCAACAGGGCCTGTTTTGGAGACAAGAGGCTGAAAACAGAAAGAAATGGGGGTGGAAATCCACAGTGACCTACAGCACGCTGCTTCCTTGAAGGAAAATCAGCAGCTCCTCAAGAGACCAATTTATACAAAGGAACTCTCCCCTCCCTTCCACCCCTACCCCTTCCCTTTCCCGCTCCTCTCGAGTTGGCTGCAGCAATATCCCTTCTGTGCATGCTTCCCTGACTCCACCTAAAGCTGGGCACCCATGCTGCCCTAGAGACTGTTGGGACTCAATCCCAGTGCCTTACTTTCTGGGCAGAGAGGAAGTCGTGCTGGGCCCAGGGGTGAAGTAGGACTGCCTCTGGCCTCTTTCCCATCTTATCAGGGTATTTCTGGCGGGCACAGACACACGTACACAAAACCACATGCAGATGCACACAGCGCAAGCCAGTGATGACGTTCCTCTGCCTGGCTGGTTCTACATATGGGTGTGACTGGGTCAGAGTACAGGGAGGGCCTAAATATTTAGATACTAGACTGCCAAACCCTGGTTGGAAACCAGGGATTATCTCAAAATGGACATTTTGAGAAAGAAAAGCAGCCCCTGACATCCAGCAGCTGGCCTGGTACTCTCGGCTAGGCCTTGGCGCTGCTGTCGGCTGGCCTGGCACTCACAGCCGATCTGGGTGTTCTGTCAAACATAGATTCACAGGACACTGGCGTCACACAAGGCCACTCTATGACCATGATGGGTGGAGGCAAAAACAAGACCATTCCATAATCACGTATGAACACAGACAAAAACAGGAACATTGCCCAAACCACAAAAATGATGAACCTCCCCCCCCACCCTGGCTAATCTGAGTGACTGCTGCTTCCTTACCAATTGCAGCTTTAGCCTTGCTCTAGTCTGCCCTTCTACTGGGTAAGATTTATTTAGTAATATATCTAATCCAATTATAGCATTATCTCTGCTTTCTGACAGCATCCAACCTTGGACAAATTATGGCTTCCTTAAACCCTCCCACAGATCCCCCAACCCAACCTGAATCCTATAATAAGTCCTTTCTAGCACCCTCTTCCTGAGACATCCCATGGCTCTCCACGGTGTGCCTTCTCCCTTGCTGCCATGAGCAATAAACCCAACTTGTTTGACCACAAGAGTGTTCCTGGTGGTCTTTGGCTGGAGGGTGTTGACAATTTGGAGGCAAAGAGCCAACATCTCTTCTGAAGGTCCACTACCAGGCAGAGAGCCCAGTGAATCCGACTACTTCTGTGTCTTCCGGTGAGTTTTACCTAGTCCCAGTGGAGCCTCCAAGATCTGTGTCTGTTGGGGAAAGCCCAGGAGCCATGTCTCATTTTGGCGGACAGAGGTACCTGGCTTCCCAGGCAGGTTTTGCCTGGGATGTCTTGGCATTTGCAGTGCAATACAGAGATGCTTCTCAGGGAGCACCTCATGTGGGTGTTGAATTTATAAATACATACACACAGGCATCAAGGTATTCATTTTTGTAACATTTTCTAACGGACATTTGGTCAGCAACTACTGCGTGCCATGATACTGAGCTAGGCCCTGGAGATAAGCTGGTAAGATGCTGGCCGGTTAGCTCAGTAAGTCAGAGTGTGGTATTGTAACACCAAGGTCAAGGGTTCAGATCCCTGTACCAGACATCTGCCACACACAAAAAAAAAGCAGCAGCAGCTGAGTAATGCTCATATATAGTTCCCAGCTTCAGTGGCTTTATAACCTAGGGGCAGACACAGACAAGTCAACAGGGACTATCAGCACGACATAAGTGCTTGGAGTATGATTGGTGAGTTCCCGTTGTAACCTCATTGCTCCTCAGATTGCTTTACTGTCCTGCCTCTATCTATTCCAGGCTTTTCTTTCACTGATCAAATCATGGTTATTCCCCCATTCCGTGGTTATATCTTCTCTGTCATCATTAGGAACAGAACATGCTATGTTCTATCCCCTAATAGAGGATGGAGCTGGCAGTCCTTTCGCCCAAAGACATTTCACACCTCTTTTCTTCACTTTTCCTCAGGCCTTTGATTCTCCCTCCTTCCCCTCCAAATCTTTGCAGTCTTTCCCCCTTGTTTTCCTCCTCTCTGTGTTTCTTTCTCAGGTCTCAGGAGGTGCTCCCTGCCCACATTTTTTCTACTGAAGCGCTGGAGCACATTGGAACGAACACTCTTCCGGATTTCGGGCTCAGTTCTGCTGCTCATGCCTGGATGGCCTTAAGCAGCTACTTTCCTAGGTCTCAGCTCCCTCATCTGTAAAGCAAGGGGGACAGACTAGAACAACTTTCCACCCTCAGCCCTCA